AAATGAGGAAATTAAGTATCTAAGATGATTTGTGATGTTTTAGAGCTATTATAATACTATTATTTGTTAGAATATCATGAGTATAACATCAGTCATATTTAGTAGCATGAGACAAATAGCAGTCTGGATCAGTCTTTCCGTACAGTGCATCGCAGACTGTGGTCTCACACGAGTTTATTTTAAGAGTTAGTACTTCCCCTGAAAAGAGCAATAGCAAGAAATTCCTCCATTTCTTCCATTTTTATTTTATTTGGTAAATGTTAGTCAGCAGAGTTTTTATAGACTAAAGGAACCATTTCAGTTTCATTTAATAAATTCATTATTTGTTGGAAAGCACAGTCCGGTGTAATATTCTTATTCAGTTGTTGGTTTTCTTTGTGTGATGCTCTAGTAGAATAGAAATGAAATAATAGTCATGTTTTTTAAAACAGTAGTTTATACCCTCCATTAAAACAGCCATTCAGATTACTTGCTAGGTCCTGACTTAAATTTAAATAATAACTCCCCAGATATCACATTTTTCTGCCTAAAGGACATCCTCTTGTTGTGTACAGTTATTAGGAGTCGTGGTGATAAGTTCTTCCTTGTATTCTATTAAGAAAATCTTTTCTATATCATTAGAATTTATAACAGTTAACATGTAGATGTTGCTACCCATGAATAAATTTACTCTCTGGGTCACAAATAAATTTAGATAAAAATAAAATACTTAGGCAAGAGTCATTTTAGGCAGAGATTCTTTTAAAGGGCTTATATGTTTTGTATCTAATTTGACAAAAAGTACCCAAAATACTAAGCATGGAAATGTGAGGTTGATATTATTACTGTTATCATTATTATCAGACATGTACCAACAACTGAAATTTCATGGAATTGTGATATAATTATCCTTTAAAAATATAGCTATTTTGAGATATAATTTACATACCACACTGTTTACCGACTGAATGATTTTTGGTGTATTTAGAGTGTTTTGTAACCATTACCACAGTCAACTTCAGATAATTTTTGTCATCCTGAAAAGGAACCCTGAACTCACTAACTTCCTATTTCTCCCTAAATCCCCCAATTCTTGGCAACCACTAATCTATTTTCTGTCTCTGGGGATTAGTCTGTTTCGTATATTTCATATGAATAGAGTCATAGCCTCCATTAAGAGTAATTTCAGTAACTAACTTTATGTTTTCAGGGTTCAACCATGTTTTAACAGAAACCAGTATTTCATTCTTTTTTATGTTCAAACCGTATTTCATTGCATGCTTATACAACATTTTGTTTAGCTGTTCATTAGGTAGACACATGGGTTATTTCCATTTTTCAGCTATTCTGAATAATGCAGTTATACATATTCATGCACAAGCTTTAGTGTAGAAATGCATTTTCACTTCTCTTAGACATATACCCAGGAGTAGAAATGCCGAATCGTGTAATGATTTATGTTAAGGAACCACCAAAGTATTTTCCAATATGACTGCCCCACTTCATATTCCTACCCGTGGTGTGTGCGGATTTCAAATTCTTGGCTTTCTTGCCAGTATCTATGGCTATCTTTATTATAACAATGCTGATGATTGTGAAATTGTGTCTCATTGTGCTTTTGATTTACATCTCCTTGATAACCAATCACATAGAAACTTTTCATGTGCTGTTGGCTATTTGTACATCTTCTTGGGAGAAGCATCTATTGCAATCTTTTGACCCTATTTTAAGCTGGATTTTTGCATTTTTATTAAATGGTAAAAGTTCTTTATGTACTCTTTATTCTAATCCCTTTTCCATTCTGGGTTAGTTTAAGCTCCTCTTGCCATAGCTTTCCACTACTACAGCACTTGTTGCAGTGTATTGATGCTGTAAGTCTAGGATTTGTCTATCAGAAGCAGTTGTGTCTTACAAAATTTTGTATACCCAGTGTCAGAAACTCTGCCTAACACAAAATAGGAGTTCAATAATTGTTAGGCTAACCCTAACCTGAGTCTGAAAAAAAAAGATTCACATCAGTACTGACCTAAGAAAGTTGACAGGAAGGCCTTTTGTAGACTGTCTAGACTTTGCCACTTGTGTCTTTGCTACAGGATTCGTTGTATGGAGCCCAGCTCATCACAGTCTGCTTTGATCTGTTCTGAACAGTGGACTGAAATTTATACAATCAAGGATTTATTTTATTCATTATTTAAAAAATCTTTACATTAAATCTAGTGAAGTCATATGAATAGAGCTTTGCAATTTGTACAGGGAGGTAATCTAGTGTACTGTGCTGCCTTGTGCTGTGGCTGTGCTCTGCTGTGATCTAACGGATTCCAAAGTTTTCTTTTCCTAACACAGTAATTCCTGTGGTAATAGTTTTTCATTAATTTTTAAACATGATTTTGGTAATGATCATTTTCCTATTTGTCCTAGACTTTTCTAAATTAAAGAAGTAACTGGGTGATTCTTCTTTATTTCTGGAACATATTTTATTTTCTTTCAAAGATTCTGTACATTCTGTCTCTCCATAAGTCAGTATTGTTAAAAATGTTGCAAGTGTCCTATTTTGATCAGAGAAGTATAATGACATGAAATAACGCCTTCTCCCTGTAGAATGAAGATGCAGATTTAATTGTTGAAGCCCAGTCCTTCATAGAGCTCCCTCGTTTCAAATCCTGATAGAAGCAAACAAAAGAAGATATAAAAATGAGACTTAAGAAGAAAGTCCAGATAGTTTCTGTGTAACTTTGATGAGATTTGTATGCGCTTTCTCTCTCTCTTTCTCTGTCTCTGTCTCTCTCTTCCACACACACACACGCACACACACACACACACACGATGATGGGGTAAACTAGTTGAGAGCCAGTAATGATTTATTTTTGCTTAGCATAGCAAGCTTTATTAAAGATTACTTCATCTCAAAAGACTTACTAGAATTCTGGAATGAGAAATTCCCCCACCCTGCAAAATTAGCTCTGTTTTTGGGAGAAAAAGTTTGGCTGGCATGCTGATTTTAATACCCTATTGGAAAACACTGACTAAAAAACATCCTGTTTGTGGTAAACAACTGGGATAGGAGAAAGGAGAAAAGAGAAAGAGAAGGGAAAAGATTGTGTGTGTGCATACAAGATCAATAACTATACTAATCTTTGTTAGTTCATCAAAAAGAGCAGTTTCTGCTTTCATTGTTTGATCTTTTTTTAATGCCTAAATCTTGTAATCTGAACAACTACTTTGAAGTAACAGTATGCAATATGTCAATCAGTGTTAATGTCCTATTATTTTGTTTTGAAATTCTGTGTCATCATTTTTTATTCTTTTGTTTGTTTATTTGCCTGTGATACTGTGTTCACTCTGGTGTGTACCACACTTCTGTGAGGTTAGTAAGGGGATCTCCGAGCCAGCTGTTGTAGTACACACATCCACATCGAGGTACTCATGTGCCTCAGACTGGAGAATTAAAAGTTTGAAGCTATCCTGGGCAACTTAGTGAGACCTTGTCTAAAACTCAGAACAAACAAAACAGAGGAAAGAGGGGAAAGAGGAGGAAGCACCATGAAATTCTTCTTTTTCTTCCTCCAGGACATGCCCCGTCCCAAAAGCAGATTTGCCTGGAGCATAACCTCGTTGTGGTCACAGATCTTGTGTTGTCCTTGCTAAATGTTGATCAGGCACAGCACAGCTACTCAAACATGTCAGCTAGAAGGACAGGAAGTTAAGGGTTTGCTTAGTCAGACTAATAGGTCAGGGTTGGAGGTTGAGGTCCCATTACTGCTGACTAGCTATACGTCCTTAGATAAAGTATTTAATCTCCGTAGACTTCAGTTTACTCTTTGTACAATGAAGCATAATACTAGTACCGTCTGGTAGTAAACTCTGTATTATAAGAAGTTGTTACTAAATTCAACATGTTTCCTGACCATCTCCTCTACTCAGAACTTGACTCCCTGCCTGATTAAACAAGGTCAAGTTCATAAATATAGATCATCAGCTCTGTCCTTCCCTGTTGAAGAGAGATAGTAGGAAGAAACTGATGAAATGTTATTTGAACATTGATTTCCAGTAACTGCATTAGATTAGATACACTCCCTTCATTTATGGAATATGTGTTGACACTGGGAAACATGAAATAAAGAAGTGTTCCAGTATGAAGATTCTTGTCTTTGGAGGTTAGCCTTGGATCTTAGAACAAAAACAAATCAGTAGTACTGTATCTCGTTTTCCAAAATACAAGTTTCTTTGTAACAGCCATTCAAAGATATTTTTGCATGCTACATTTTTGCTGTTAGATTTTTACTAAATTGCAAAATAACTAACCTTCATGTTCCTATTGTACTAAAATTGTCAAAGGATTCTTTCAGGTTTATGTGTCTCCATAAGAATATTACTTTAAACAGTGTATAAAAAGTAAAGGCCAAGTGAACAGGCCTTGATGCTATGAACAGAATAACAAAGTAGAATCTGAGGTTGCCTTGTTATGAATGGGTTATTTGGGTATAGAAAGAAGTTATATTTAGGCATGGCATTCCTATAAACCCCGAAGCTATGTGTTACACAAATGAGAAATTTATGTGCTAAATAAAAATCACCAGATGTCAGTTTCTGTGTGTGCCAACTGGTGAATGTGGAGTGGCTTAGAAATCCAGGAAGAGTGATGCCCATTTCTTTGCTATTAAAACTGAAAAGGGATAATTGAAGTAAAATGCTTTTGAAAAAATTACAATATATTCAGCTACCAAAGGTATCCCGTATTATGAATTGTTATCTGAAAGAATTTATTTTTTTGTTCATAATGTGTTTGTGGCATTAAAACTATGACATGTATATTTACTCTGATTGCATTTGACTTTCCTAAGTCTCATTGCATTCTTTTAAAGTGTCAGCAGATATTTTATTTAAAGAATCTACCTGGACACGGCCCTCTAATAAAGGTCCAGTACACTCTACAGTGCATATAATCTGCAGGCTCCTATCTTATATCTTGCCCACATCAGTTATATTCATGAAATTATCAGATGAATTCTCTTCTTTCTTAGAAATTCGAGCCCAGCTAGTAGAACAACAAAAATGCCTGGAGCAGCAAACGGAGATGCGAGTTCAGCTTCTCCAGGACCTTCAAGATTTCTTCCGGAAAAAAGCCGAAATCGAGACAGAATATTCTCGGAACCTAGAGAAGCTGGCAGAAAGGTTCATGGCAAAAACAAGAAGCACTAAGGATCATCAGCAGTACAAGTAAGAGAGATTTGACTCAAACGCACCTTTCCTCAGTGAGAGTCCTTGTCTTTCTATCAACATGTTGCTTTAGATTTCTCCATTTTTGTGTGAGGAGCTAAGGGTGGGCATATTCTCAGAAGCTAAAGAAACTCTCTGCCCTTATATTTTAGGGACGTTCATTTATCATATTTATACTAATGATAGTCTCTTGAAATCGTTCCAATACAATATTATTATTTATGGATAAACTTGTATAAAGAAGATATGTTTGTAAAATTCTAGGTTATGGAAAATTGGGAGTTGATTTGAAAAGGAAGGTTTTAAAAAGTTGCTTTTTTAAGTAGAGACCTCCAGTTTGCTGTAAAATGATAATAAGGAATATGGGTTACTTGGTTTTTTTTTTTTTTTTTAATCGGTACCAGGGATCAAACTTATGACCTCACACTTGCAAGGCAGGCACTTATACCGCTGAGCTAAATCCCCAGCCCCAATTTGATTTTTTTTTAAACGCATCTCACTCCTGCTCCGCTCAAGGTGTTGGTTGTTGCTGAATTCTAGACTGATTTCAAAGAAGGCCTTTAGAGAAATGCTTATGTGTGATCAGAATTAAACTTTATCATTAATTTTATTTCATTTGTTTATGTAAAAAATAGAGGTTATCCCATTAATGAAATACATTTTATAATTAAATCATGAGTAAGCAGACAGTGCAGTAACATGTACCAGTAAGGCAGAGTGGGCTTAGCATGGGACATGACAGATGTGGCTGTAATTCTTTCCACGGTGGAGGTGGGAAAGGGAAGGTTCCAGAAAGAGAGATATTTAGCAGAGACCTAAGATGGCTTGGAGAGTCAAGAAGAAGGCTACACTGGCAAGCAGACTTCCTGGGTCAGGGGCCAGAGGGCAGATCTGAAGAACAGAAATTACTCCGGCGGGTCTGAGTACAGAGTGGTGCGCTGCATAACTACTGGGCTAAATTGAAGTTGATCATGGAATTTTTATTCCTCACTGTGGGCAGTTTCGATTTTATCCTGAGGGCATAAGAGACTTTAAAGTAGAAGGCCGACCCATTCACAACTGCATTTTAAAATAATGAAAGAGGCCAGAGGTAAGGTAGTGGACTGGAGGAAGGCAGAAGAAGGACACTGAGGGAACTGTCACAGCGATGGTGGAGCCTGCTGTCCTCGAAGCAGAGACAAATAAACCTCTCTGCAAGACAGCACAAAGGCAGGCTGAGTTTCCTTTCTAATAACACAGCGCACCAGATAATCTGGAAAACACTTCTGCCACAAAACTCTTGGAAATGTTGGTTAATATATAATAGGCATGCCTTTTTAAATGTACAGTTAGGTTCAAGGAAATTACAGGAAATTTCCAGGAACAAAAGGAGAAAAGGGAAGTAAAAACCTAGGTTGCAGCACCTGCCCTGCTTTAATACCAAGGGGTATGGAAGAGGAGGTCTGTGCCAGGTGACATTTTGGCTCAAAGAACTTTACTACTGGCTTTCCTGTGACACATCCCAGCAGAGCTCCTAACCCAGTGCAATGGTAACACTTAACCATCCCTCCACCTGCACAAGGGTATGAGAAGGAAACCACCTTCTCGGTGGAAGGAGCAACTGAGGACCATGCCTTTTCTCCACTGCTGGTTTTGCAATTCCATTTTGTACCCCTCCATTACCTGGATCCTACCTGGAAACAAGTGCAAAACTATTCTAGATAAGAAATACATTTCCCTCCCCTCCCCCTCCCCCTCGCTTCACCCCTTCTCCCCTCCCCTCCCCTCCCCTTCCCTTCCCTTCCCTTCTCTCTTTCCTTTTCTTCTCTTTTTTCTTTTGTGAATGAGTTTGACCTCTGGTTTTGTCCAGCATAGAAATCTTAGTGAAGATTCCCAGGATGACCAAATGTCTAGTGTACCTAGAGAGCCTGAGGCTGGAAAAAGGAGACTGGAACCAGTGCTATACTCACATTTATGGCAACTATCTTTTTAAAAGAGCAGTTGCAAATAAGAAGACAGCCCACTCATCTATTCTATACGTATACTGAAGGGCTTTTTTCTGTATAAGTAATTAGAAATTAGTTTTGATCTGAAAATAAGTGGTAGGTCATTGCTCTGTAATCGGTCTCTTAGTCGATCAGATGCCACTTTCTGTTTCTTCAGTTTTATTTGATAGTAGTTTCCTTCAGAAGATGAGCAGCTTAACATTTTCTTTGATTTGAGTAAGTTTATTATTAAATATAAGATTGAAGATGAAATGGGTAAGTCTGTGGAAAGGATAAGCCAGAACTAGGAAAAACTTTTTGTTTATCTTTTTGAGACAGGATCTCTCTAGGCAGTTCAAACAGGCCTTGAGCTCACTTTGTAGCCCAGACTGGTCTCAAACTTGCAATGGTTCCCCTGCCTCAGCCTCCTGGGTGCTGGGATTACAGGTGTGTGCTACTATGCTTGACTGGAAGAACTTTTTTCTAAAAACAGGTTTTATTTAAAGAGTCAGCTGTTTAGTGGTGACTCCACTGTATCTTTGGTAAAGTTTCATACCCTCTCTGAGGCTTGGTGTCAGAACAAGTAACAGGAGAGATTTTATGACTATTAAGTGAGGATCATCACAAAATCCTTGATATGCCTGGTTACTTGGTGTTGGACACAAGCACGCCTCCCCCGATGCTGAGTCTTTAGCATGGCAGTGTTACCAAGCTGGACTCCGGAGTCGGCTTCTATTCAGTCTTTGCTTATTGTGCAGAACAATCTTTGGCCTAAAGTTGCCACTGCATAGTGTAAAGACCAAGGCTTAAATCAGCCAGCCTGAACACAAAGACTCACTTTGACACTAGTGTTGGTCTTTATCAAATCCCCGTGCCTCGTTAAGCTTTAATTCTTTCATTCATGGAAAGGACACAGAATCCCTGCCTTACATGGTTGTGGTAAGGATTAGGTAGAATTAATGTCAGCTTCTTAAGAGCAGCCCCTGAATAAAAATAACTAACTTTATACAGCACAGAGTATATGCCAGAGGCATTATTATGAGCATTTAAAAATACACATTAACTCAAATTACTCTCATAATAATCTTATGAAATAAGTCGTATTATTTTGCCCATTCTGCAAGAGGCACAGAGAGGTTAAAATCATTCGTCTAAGACGCAGTAAGTGCTAACTGGGGTAAGAAGCTGGAATAACTCCAGAGTTCATAATCTTGGCCTGTATCCTACTTCTCATTTTGTGTATGGTAGCTACTATTACCATTATTTTTGAAGTTATTATGACCACTATTACTAGCAGTATGGCAGTAATACATTTACTCAATGAATGAAATAATACTTATTCTTACAATGAGAGAGAACACTGGAGACATAAAGGAGAATAAAATAGTCTCAAGGGATTAACGAGCTGGTTCAATATAAAAGATATACATTAAAGTTAGCCCAAGGTCATGAGTTTGATCCTTGGTATCCAAAAAAAAAAAAAAAAAAGTTTATTAAATTAGGCAACCTTTACCCTGATGCTGACTAGATAAAGAACATCGATAGAAAGGCTCTGGTTACCTGCCACGGAACTATTACTCCTTTCCACATGGTCTCTAGGAAAAAGGGTACTCGGTAGATGGAGGGTGTAATTCTCACTGTCTCATGAGGAGTGAGGGGCTGCCCTGGGATACAGTGCCAGGACCCTGGGTGGTTATCTTTTTCCCCAGCCGTATTTCTACTTCCTGTTTCTTCTAGGGAGGGTTTTGATTGGGTGCTGTATTAAATCCAGAATCTGAGAATAATGACAGAGAAGCCATTTTACTAACTGAATTGCTATTCTGGATTATATATGATCATGAATAATAAAATAACACATCCAATTAAATAGTACTTGTGTCCCTGAGTTACAATACGCATTCTATACCATTTTGAAATTTACAGCTTACTTTTATTTATTTATTTGTTGGTACTGGGAATCAAACTCAGAACCTCATGCTTGTGAGCTATATCCTCAGCCCCCCCAGTTTGCTTTTAAAATAATAAAAAGTTGTACTCTACTTTCTTTTTTAAAGTAGTAACATCCAAATTGTTCGCTGTTTTCACTTGGAGTTTTTCTTTGAGAAAAACTTTGTGTGTGTATGTGTGTGGGGGGGGTGAGGAAGGTTCATAGTGGCTTTTAACTTTATTCTCTACAATAAAATAAGAACCAGTTACAAATCCAAAATAATTTAGTAGGTTTCAGTAGAGTAAGTGACAGGTCACAGGCCAGCAAACTTCTCGCTTCTATTCATAAGCCTTGAGACAATTGTATAAAGTTCTGGTTCCCAGAAACACTTTTGGGGAGGCTGGAGATTGTGTATCAGGGGATTAATAAATAACCACCAAGTTTATTTTCCATGGAAAGCAAAGCTAGCTAAATTTCTTTTCCAGCAGCAGTCTGAACATTCAAAGCAGACATTGTGTACAGTGACAAACCAAAGCCAGTCTCAGACGAGAGTCAATAGATTTTTACGTAAACATACATTGCCCTCTTCAGTGGGGAGATTACAGCTGAAGGGCAGCCCATCTGCTCTGCATGGTAAAGCCCTGGGCCCATGCCAGGAGTGCAGGTTACCACTGGTGTTCTGATCCAAGTATTTACTTCCACCGGCAAGTGGCTCTCTCTGTGCTGTGTATAGACTGAAGGCTGATGCACTGGCTATCAAGTGTCCTGGTCTGCGGAACCCTCAGAGCAGAAAGAATGGTGACAGGACCCATCTGTTGTGGCTCTCAGCTTGCCCGAGTGACTGCACTCAGCTGTTCAGGGCAGCTTTGAACTGGATGTAATTCTGCCCTTCTTCACTTCTCAGGAAAGACCAGAACCTGTTGTCTCCAGTGAACTGCTGGTATTTGCTCCTGAACCAAGTGAGGCGAGAAAGCAAGGACCATGCCACCCTGAGTGACATCTACCTGAACAATGTGATTATGCGGTTCATGCAGATAAGCGAAGATTCCACCAGGATGTTTAAAAAGGTATATTCCGTGAATCCTGACAGCCTGAGCTGTCTGATAACTTATTTACCTGTAATCAAGACTGAGAACAGTGCCTGAAAAAATTTAAAGGAGTAAATATTTTAAATGTTAAGTCCAAACAGGCATACTTATCCTATGTATGTGATTGTGGGTACAAAAGTTTATATAGTATGTTGTATCATTGTATGCTAAAAGGTCTTATATTCAGTAAATTACTGAATCTCTGACCTGAAAAATGTGTGCAAATTTTTAAAAAAGATGTGCCAGCAAAGATGTGCCTCGGTCCCTAGGAACTATGTACTGGTGAAAATCGAAAGGAAGAGGAAAGCTTCAGATTCTGTCTTTTGGGCTCACACATGACCAGACTTGTGAAAAACAAGATTACCATGTGTTCTGCTGCTCTCTCAGGAAAATGTTATCACAGTTTTTTTTCTTAATCCCTCCAGACCAGCAGCAGAAGCTGTGAGAGAATGATGTGAAGGGGGAAAAAAAACCCAGAGGGCACAGAAAATTCAGTTCCTTACACACCAGAGAGCTCCCTCCTTCCCAAACCCATTAAAAAAGATCTGGGGATCGGGACAGAACAAAACAAATCAGAGCAAAACAAAAAAAGGAATTGGGCTTTTAAGGCCTTTTATCATCATTAGTAGCTGCAGCCAACTCTTAGCAAATTTTTGTTGTTTGGACATTTTTGTTGAGAATAATAACAAAATTGGACTATTTCCTGTGCAGAGAATGCAGCTACTTGCTTGGTGAGGCTGTTTTTCAGTTTTTATGTTTGTAGGACAAGAGTCTCCCGTGACCTTTTCAGCTTTGTTCAGACAATGTTTAGTGTCTACATTTTACCTGTGCCTCTCTCTAGTGAGTTATGATTTGTTTCAGAAGGGGATGGGGACCCACCCTGTGGATTAATGGTATATTTATATTTCAAAGGGCCTCTTTAAAACAAAGGCGTACTGTTAGGCAGACCAGCTGGAAAACTTGGTTGTGTTTGATGTATCCACATTAGATTTGATTCTTGACCTAGAAATGGAATTTAACAAGCTCTAAGTTGTACTCAGTTAAAATAGAACAAAAAGTGTTCTGAACAAAGGATAATTTTAAAACTGGAACCAAGAAGTATATGAATTAAAAAGAGGATGGGTAGAGAAATGTCCATTTATCTTGGACAGTAGAGATTGTTTTAAAAATAATTTAAAGTGAGCTGTGAATCTGTGTGCACATCACCAGTTTTCAGTAGTGACCTTCTTGTGTTAGCCATTGTTTCTGGGCATCTCCTATGAGCAGAAGATGGTGATGTTGGCCCTCCACAAGGCCACAGAGATGAAGAAAAACCAGTCCTTGTGCAAAGGAGGTTGCAGGCAATACAAATTTGGGGCTGAAAAATGCTTCCCAGTCCTATGGGTGCTGGCAGTGATTCAGCCTGGGCCTTTAGGACCAGCGCCTCAATACAGATCATGTATTTATCCATTTACAAAGAATCTTTAAATGTCTGGCTGGCAAAGCAGAGTTAAAAGACATGTCCCTGCTTGCAAGGAGCTCATTACAATAATTAAGAACTGCCATGCTAAAGAGATGCATGAGCTGCTGTGGGAGCCTGAAGACTGGGGAGCTTCACTTCACCAAGGGTCAGGAAAGGCTTTACACAAGAGGGAACACTTGACATGAGGCTTTTAGGGGAAGGAGGCATTCATCAAACAGACAAGGACAAGGAGCTCTCCAAGGGAGAGCCAAAGCTTGTGTTCAGGGAGAGGAAAGCATTTCATGTGACCAGACCAGGGGCTGCATGGGAGTGAGTGGTGAGATGTGAGGGAAAAACAACGTCAAATAAGAAGAGATGTGTGTGTCTTGTCGAGATGTAAGGATTGTGTAAGTTAAGGGCTTGATAAAGTTGGTAGAAATCTAAAACTCAGAGTCAAATAGGTTTGGATTTGAATTCCAGCTTTTCTGCTTACTTGCTTTGTGATCATGCAAGATAAGAGAGTCACAGGAATGCCATGTTCTGTTGGAGGGTTGAGCAAGGCAGGATTAGACAGAGGGGAGACTAAACACGTGGGAACCTAAGGCTGGGGTGGCCTTTGGAGCCATCTTATATCCTGCAAGGAGAAACGTGCCGTGCTTTTCAGTCATTGTATTTAGGCTGCTCTGAGGGAGGGTAAGTAGTCCTGGGATGAGGCTGCTGCCTTCCGTGGAGGGTAGTTCCCAAGGGTAATTCCCAGAGTGGGATCACATCTGAGTTTTAGCAGCCAGCAGCAAATATTCCAGTAGTTGGGGGAATGTGTTCCTGGCTCTTGAATAGGGATCTGGGAAATGCACAGTAATTACACAGACAGACACACAGATAGCTATGTCTCCTTGTTTATTACCTCGCATTCTCTACTTATCCAGATTCTCTGAGGTTCAAAGCATTTCCGGTGGCTTTGTGCTGACTTTGGCATTTAGTGGGGGGAATGTTCCATGCTTCCTGAACAGCCTTCTCTCTCTTAGCTGTTGCTGACCAGTTGAAAACTAGCAGTGTTTCCAATGGCAGGCACCAAACTCTACCTTCCTCTAGAGAACCCAGCAACCTGCCTACCTCACCTTTCCATCTGTTATTGTGGGAAAAAGCCAGAGCAACAGAGGTGGTGCTCAAGCGTAGACCAGAGCTTACTGAGGAGTCAGATCAACCTGGAACGCATCTGTCATCTGAATGAGAAGGAGGCAGAGTCCAAGAGAGTCAGGGCCTTCACATTAGGAAGCAACTCTGCCTACACTCCTACCCACCCTGTACCCTTCTCTCCTTCCCTCCCATTTTCTCTCCCTTTCTCTCTCTCTGTCTCTGTCCCTGGCTCTCTGTGTCTTACTCTCTCTCTCTCTGTCTCACTCTCTGTCTGTCTGTCTTTCTGGTGGTGGGGATCAAACCCAGGGCAGTGCCTCTTGCGTGCTATGCTCTCAGCCCCTCTGCCTTAAATCACCAACTTTCCTCTTCTCCAGCTCTTCTTCCACTGTCTGAGTTTGGGGTAGAAGCCTATTTTCTATCAAAATGGGAAGAAGCGCCCTTTGTACCTGTTTTGGAGTCCTTCCTGGCATCATGTTTGTCTTTGTTATTAGAGTAGATTTTAAGGCTTCCTCATTTTTCCCTGTATCTGTAGGTAGATACACATAGATGCTGACTACTAGATAGTTTGGTTTAAACAGCTACATTTTATTTGATTTAGTCAACAGTAGAGAATTCTTTCACCTATTTTGTCAGATAAGGAGTCTGGTGTAGGTACTTCTAGGACTCTCTTTGTCTCCATAGAGATACAATAATTAAGAAGACAGTTGAAGGAATATGTAATTTCATGCACAGTGTTAAAAACAGCTTCAAGGCTATAGTCATAATCACATCCATCATGGCTGCTTTAGCATGTTCAAAAGTTTTTAGCAGGTAATCCCAGCACTTAGGAGGCTAAGGCAGGAGGAGTGCCACAAGTTCAAGACGAGCCCTGGCTACATACTGAGACCCTGGCTCAAAAAGACAAAAGGAAAGGAAAAAGAAAGTACTTACAAAGCAGTAAAAGGGTACAAGTAATACAGAATTTCAAGAAAAAAAATATACAGTAAGAAATCACTAGTTAATAGATTACATATTGTCATCTTAAAAAGTTGTTCAAATTACAAAATTAAAGCATACAAAGTGAACATTCATACAGTGAGATTGCAGACAGTTCTGTTCAGTGATCCAACAAAAACTCAGTAATATGGTTCTCCATCCTACACACTTAAATATACATGCAGTTATATCCTTCAGACCACTTTCAAAAAGAAACTTAACAGGCAGAAAAAGTGAAACTTCTTAAAAAAAAACAACAACAATACTCAGTTCTTCAAATATTATTTTAAGTCTAAATTTTTAAAGTTCTAAATGTAGCCTGTTATGAGAATAATAGTGATTCAGCTTTTAGGATTTGAAATCAGAAATTTTGGCTAAAAGTTTTGGCTTTGCTTAGTGAGGCACCTATCATTGACTATAATATGATTAAGACCATTATCTAGAAGCCGTTTCCTAATACTGCGTGAAATTAAGGATCCCTACAAGTGTCTTCTTGCTTATTGTATCCACTTTAGTCACTATAAGAACTTGGAAGCACTGTGAATGTCTGATGCCTGTTTCTACATCTATATAGTGCAGTAGCTTATTCCACATGGTTTTAGAAGGTTTATGACTCATGTAGGAAGCAACTGAGTCCAGTGTTTGGACTTAAGTCTCAAAATAAACTTTTAGCTAGTATTTACCTTTCTTATCATCTATAGTGTAATCATTATTCTATTGCCCTGTGATAATTATATAATGTGGGATTATGCATTAACCGTACATGAAATAGATGTGTCCTCATTCTAAGGAGGGTATATGCACAACTTTGTGGTAAATAATTCAGATCAGCATATTAGAAAGTTCCAAACCATGTTTATAAACTGACTTTTCAGAAATACCCTCACATCATTGCTTGCACTAGAATGAAAGTTTTTGCCCTCACATTTCAACAGTGAGTGAAGAACCACTGGTGTTGGTTAACACTCCATGCCTCTCAGACTCCCAGCAAATGTTTCACATGGAGAGTCTCAGCTTTGAGGCCTCACTGATTTCTTTACTTCCTTAGTGAAAGGAGTTACTTAACTCCAGACTCCCCCACTCTGTAGATATAGACCATGCAAACATGACGTGCACATAGATGCTGGGGGATTCTTCCTTCCCTCTCAAGTTCTGTTTTACCACTGTAGGAGGACATGAGAGTTTGGGGACTCCTTGTATGTAACGGTTGTCTCATTATCAAGGCTGTCTTTTCACCCAGAGAACAAAGGCTAGCAGTGAGCCTCTTGCTCTGTTTCCCAGCCCTTCTCCTGCAGCTACCCTCTTTCCACTATGCATACTGAAAGAAAGTGTTCTGTATCGGGTTAGGTGCTACGGTCAGAAAGCCTCCAGTTCTTAGGCTATACAAAAGAATTGTAATCAATGTTAGCAGTCCCAGTGGTAGGAC